TTTTTTTTTTTTTTTTTTTTTTTTTGAGACGGAGTTTCGCTCTTGTTGCCCAGGCTGGAGTGCAATGGCGCGATCTCGGCTCACCGCAACCTCCGCCTCCTGGGTTCAGGCAATTCTCCTGCCTCAGCCTCCTGAGTAGCTGGGATTACAGGCATGCGCCACCATGCCCAGCTGATTTTTTGTATTTTCAGTAGAGACGGGGTTTCACCATGTTGACCAGGATGGTCTCGATGTGTTGACCAGGATGGTCTCGATCTCTTGACCTCGTGATCCACCCGCCTCGGCCTCCCAAAGTGCTAGGATTACAGGCTGGAGCCACCGCGCCCGGCTGTAGGAGGATGCTTTAAATCACATAGCAGTGACAGAGCTGTCAAGGTTACTGCCACCCTCTGGCAGCTTCCAATGGGTTCTAATGGGAAGATGCTTTTCAAGCAGCACAGTAGCAAGAGCTGATAAAGTTGGCAGTCACCAAGGTGTACTGCCGTTCTGAGGGCAGCCTTCCACAAGAACTGGAGCAAGGTCCTACAACTCCTTTATCAGGAGGAGTGGCTCTCGCCCCAAGCCTGCCATACAGCGGGTATCTTTACGATACTGAACGCTGCCACCTGGGCCATGGATTCTTGTCCTGGTATAACTGTTTTGCCCTTAAATCATGCTCTGCACCGCATCTGCTCTAGGCATTCCTCCGATTATAAGCTGCTTATTCCTTAATTCATGCTCTGTACTGTGTCCACTCTAGGCATTCCTCCGATTATGAACTAAGATATAATTATAGGTATATATGTAGGGAAATATTCTTTAGGCACTCATACTATCAACTATTATATGATTATATATAGAGGATTATATAAAAGGAGACTTCCAGCCCTATTTCTATAAACTAATATTATATAAAGGATTATATAAAAGGAAATAGCTGAGTAGTAACACTGTAAAGTGAGATATTCCTCAAGCCCTAACTGTGCCAAGGTTCTGCTTAGCTCTCATTCCTTGGTTCCTATATGGGGGGTAAACCACAGAGATTAGCAGCTTGACTAATTTCCTGCCTAGTTTGATGGAGAAGGGGAAGATTGTGTCCAAGAGGGCTAGTTTCTGGGAGGTTAGGCCCAAGCAAAAAGGTGTGGCCATACAAGAGTTCAAAGGGGCTGTATCCTGTGTGTTTCCAGGGAGTGGCATGAATTCGGAGAAGAGCAATAGGTAGAAGGCATACCCAGTTCTTTAGTTGAAGGGTAAGCTTGGTAAGGTGTGTTTTTAGGAGGCCATTAGGTTTCTCTACTTTTCCTGATGACGGAGGGTGGTAAGGGGCATGGAGATTCTATTGAATGCTAAGGGACTGAGAGAGTGCTTGGGTAATTTGGCTAATGAAAGCAGGGCCATTGTCAGATTGGATGGAAGTAGGCAGGCCAAATTGGAGAATGATCTCATTTAACAGACAAGAAATAACAGCAGTGGCCTTTTCTGTTCCAGCAGGGAAGGCTTCAATCCACCCTGTAAAGGTATCCACCCATATAAGAAGACATTTACATTTCTTGTCAGGTGCATATAAGTAAAGTCAATTTGCCAATCTCGTGTGGGGATAAATCCCCACATTTGGTGAGTGGGAAAGTGAAAAGGTTTTAAAAATCCCTGGGGTCCTGCTGTAGGCCTTTTAGTAAATTAAAAAAAAATTCCCTGGGGTTTGGTAGAGTGGCAGATGAAGCACTCAGATGTAATTGTGTTAAGCATGGACTTCCGTGAATGGAAGGAGATGAGTGGTTCTAAGAGACAGGCGAAGGCTTATATCCCACATGAAAATGGTTATGGAAGAGAGGATAGAATGAGCTTGTGAAGTAGGAAGAAGAAATTTTCCTTTATCCAAAACCCAACTGCCTGAGTGGGAAATGATTGGTAGGTTAAGGATTCAGAAGGAGAGTAAGTGGGGGTAATTGATGAGAAAGAAAAATGTTATCCACTCAGAGGAGATATTGGTGTGTTTGCTGCCTTCTTAGCTGTTTCTTCAGCCAAAGCGTTTCCTTGGGCAATGAGATCTAAAGTTTTTTGATGCCCTTTATAGTGGATGACTCCAACCTTGGCTGGGAGGAGAGCGGCCTTAAGGAGGGCCTGAATTAAGGCAGCGCTGATAATAGAAGATCCCTGTGTAGTGAGAAAGCCCCTTTCTGCCCATGTGGCAGCACGGTGGTGTAGGATTTGAACGGCATAGTCAATATAGACATTGCCATGTAGTCCCCTTAGCAAGAGTAAGAGCATGGGTTAAAGCAATTAGTTGAGCTTGCTTTAACCCATGCTCTTACTCTTGCTAAGGGGACTACATGGCAATGTCTATACTGACTCTAGAGGGAGGGAGTGTGGCAGCCTCAGTGATAGATGAACAGGATACAGCTGCATAACCAGATTTAGCTGGTGCTGACTAGGCCTTAACTCCCATCAATAAACCATGTGTGAACCGGGTCTGGAATGGGAAAGAGAAATACGTGGAAAGGGGGAGAATGCTATACGGATTAAGAAGATACAGTCACGGGGTTCAGGGCTTGTGTTTATGTTTGGCATTAGATAAGAAGCTGGATTAAAATCGGGGCCATGTGCAATAGTCACAGTGGAGTTTTCATGAAGAGCGAATAGAGTTAAATAGGGCGTGGGGCAGATAACGGATGTGGAACCTGCGAAGAGAATACTAAAGCCTGAAGGTTGTGAGAGCTGTGTAGAGTGAGTGAGGCAGAGCCTGTGATTCTGAAGGCCTCAAGAAGGAGCAAAGAAGAGGCAGCTGCCACATGCAGGCATGAGGGCCAACCTGGGACAGTGAGACCAAGTTGTTTAGAGAGGAAGGCAAGAGGACGAGGACCTAGCTCTCGTGTAAGAACTCCAATTGCATAACCCTGAGTTTCAGCAGTGTATAAGGAAAAGGGTTGGGATGACTTGGAGACAGCTAGTACAGAAGTCATTTCTAGAGCTCTCTTCAAGAGTGAAAGGAGGAGTGAGGAAAGAATTTACAATCACGGGGTCAGATATGTTTCCCTTGGCGAGGTTATGTAGAGGCTCGGTAAGAATGCTAAAACCTGGTATTCAAAGGTGAAAGTATCTGACTACACCTAGGAAGGAGAGGAGCTGCTGTTTGATGGAGGAAGTTGGGGCTGAGGAGATGAGATGGATGCCACTGGTGGGGAGAGCATGGGTGTTTTGTTGGAGGAGGATCCCAGATAGGTGACAGATGGAGAGGAAATCTGGGCCTTAGAAGGGAACACATAATATCCGTTTAAGAATAGGTGCTTGGCCGGGCGCGGTGGCTCAAGCCTGTAATCCCAGCACTTTGGGAGGCCGAGGCGGGTGGATCACGAGGTCGAGAGATCGAGACCATCCTGGTCAACATGGTGAAACCCCGTCTCTACTAAAAATACAAAACATTAGCTGGGCATGGTGGTGCGTGCCTGTAATCCCAGCTACTCGGGAGGCTGAGGCAGGAGAATCGCCTGAACCCAGGAGGCGGAGGTTGCGGTGAGCCGAGATCGCACCATTGCACTCCAGCCTGGGTAACAAGAGCGAAACTCCGTCTCAAAAAAAAAAAAAAAAAAAAATACAAAAAATTAGCTGGGCACGGTGGTGCATGCCTGTAATCCCAGCTACTCAGGAAGCTGAGGCAGGAGAATTGCCTGAACCCAGGAGGTGGAGGTTGCGGTGAGCTGAGATCGCGCCATTGCACTCCAGCCTGGGTAACAAGAGTGAAACTCCGTCTCAAAAAAAAATAAAAATAAAAATAAATAAATAGGTGCTTGCCAGGCATGGTGGCTCATGCCTGTAATCCCAGCACTTTGGGAGGTTGAGGTGGGTGGATCACAATGTCAGGAGTTCAAGACCAGCCTGACGAACATGGTGAAATCCCGTCTCTACAAAAAAACAAACAAACGGAAAAAAGCCAAGCATGATGGCACGCCCCTGTAATCCCAGCTACCCGGGAGGCTGAGGCAGGGGAATTGCCTGAACCAGAGGGGTAGAGGTTGCAGTGAGCTGAGATCACGCCACTGCACTCCAGCCTGGGTAACAGAGTGAGACTCTATCTCAAAAATAAAAAAATAAAAAATTAAAAAAAAATAGATGCTGAAGAAGCAGGAGGGCATCTTGCCGAGAAGCTTCATAAGAGGGGCTGCACAGGAGGAGGTCATCCGTGTATTGAATAAGGTGACAAGTCGAGAGACAGAGAGCAGGTGAAAAGAAAGAGTGACGGCCTGACTGGAGTAGCATGGGCTGTCCCTGAAGCCCTGAGGCAGGATGGTCCAGGTGAGCTGTTGTGACTGGTGGGGTCAGGGTCAGTCTAAGTGAAGGCAGGTAGAGGCTGGGAGGGAGTAAAGGGATGGTGAAAAAGGCATCTTTGAGATCGAGTACAGAATAGTGGGTTGTGGAGGGAGGAATTGAGGACAGGACAGTATATGGGTTTGGCACTACAGGATGGAGAGGAAGCACAATTTGATTGATAAGATGAAAGTCTTGGACCAGCTGGTAAGATTTGTCCTGTTTCTGGACAGGCAAGATAGGAGAGTTTAAGAAGAGTTAGAAGGCTTTAGGAGACCATGTTGTAACAGGTGGGTGATGACCGGTTTTAGTACCTTTAGAGCTTGTTGGAGAATGGGGTATTGGCTTTGGGCAGGATAGGGATGATTGGGTTTTAGGGGATAGTGACAGGTGCACTGTCCATCGCTAAGGATGGAGTAGAGGTGCCACACCTGTGGGTTAAGGTGAAGAGACATGATGGGAGGCTGTGTGGTAGGCTTTGGGTCAGGTAAGAGGGCAGCTATGAGATGTGGTTGTAGTCCTGGAATAGTCAGGGTAGCAGATAGTTTGGTTAAAATATCTCACCCTAATAAGGGAACAGGGCAGGTGGGGATGACTAAGAAGGAGTGAGTGAAGGAGTGCTGTCCAAGCTGACACCAGAGTTGGGGGTTTCTGAGAGGTTTTGAAGCATTGCCATCAATTCCCACAACAGTTATAGGGGCTAAGGAAACAGGCCTTTCAAAAGAGGGTAATGTGGAGCGGGTATCCCTTGTATTGACTAAAAAGGGGATAGACTTACCCTCCACTGTGTTACCCAAAACTCAGCATCTGCGGTGATCTAGGGGACTTCTGAAGCAGTCGGACAGCATCAGTCTTCAGTTGCTAAGCCAAGAAGTTCTGGAAAGGAGTCAGCCGGAGAATATTGGGTTTGAATTCCAGGAGCCTTGGGAGTGGCTATAATATGAGCTGGAGAGTCTGATTTCCAGGGGGTCCCCCACAGACAGAACACGGCTTAGAGGGAAACTTGGGCTCTGAGCATTCGTTAGCCCAATGTTCAAGCTTTTGGCATTTGAAGCAGGTTGAAGCCGCAGGCTGTGGGCATTCCCTGGCCCAGTGGCCAGTTTTCTGGCATTTGAAGCAAGGCTCTGGAGGAGGGCGGCTTGATGGAGCACCTGATTGCGATCGCCTTGGTGCCTGAGAGTTCCTTGTGGTTGAAACAGTGACTGGGGCTTGTCTTACTGTGGAGACAGTCGCAGCTCTGAAATGTGTTGCCGCCTGGCTGCTTCCTCCCTATTGTTAAACACCTGGAAGGTGACGTTGATTAATTCCTGTTGCGATGTTGATTAATTCCTGTTGCGGAGTTTGAGGGCCTGGGTCTAGTTTTTGAAGTTTTTCCCTAATGTCTGGGGCAGATGGGGTAATAAAATGCATACTGAGAATAAGGCAACCCTCTGTCCCCTCTGGATCTAGTGCCGTGAAGCTGATGGGTGGGCCGCATGAATTGGGCAGAATTTTCACATTTGTCCTGGGTTGTTTCTTTAAGCTTGTCATAATTAATAGCTTTGTAAGCTGCCTGCTTAAGTGCCTCAACTAAGTAAGAGACCATATAGTCATGCTTGGCGATGTCGGGTGAGCCCTTCTGGTATTGCCAGTTGGGTTCTTCCCTAGGTACCGCCCTGATGCCCTCTTGGAGGGCTGGCTCATGGCGTCTGTGGGTGTCAGCATAAGACTGAGCCAGAGTATAAACACTATTTCGTTGATCTGGAGAAAGAGTAGAGGTTAGAATGACATTTAAGTCATTCCAGGTTAAATTGTAGGACAGAGTTAGATATTGGAACTCTTGGATATATTTAGTGGATTCTTATGAGAAAGATCGCAAGTGCTGACCAATGTGGGACAGATCAGTGAAAAAGGAACATGCAAGCTGAACCCTATGCCCTCAGCTCCAGCCAGGTCTTGAAGGGGAAACTGTTGGGCGGGGGAGGGAAAGCTAGTTTTAAGGCTGTATTGTGTCCCAGAGTAGGTGCGGGACGGAGAAGTGACAGAGGAGGTATAAGAGGGAGGGGATGGGGTGATGGGGAGATTAGGGTTCGGTTCAGCCTGCTGAGGGGCAGCCTGATAGAGAACGGTCAGAAGGATCTATTGAGAGAGAAGAATCTGCATTGACAGTAGGGACAGAGGGCGTGGGTGGGAGGGAAAAAAAGAGAATTGGAGAGGGGTCACATTGGGAGCAGAGGCTGGGAAGGGAACAAAGTGTGAGAAAGGCCTGGACATAGGAGACTTCAGACCTTTTACCCGTTTACGACAAAAGCTGTCTAGATCCAGCAGGACAGAAAAATCAAAGGTGTAGTTTTCAGGCCATTTAAAGCCATTGTCCAATTTATATTGCAGCCAAGTGGTATTACAGAAGAAAATAAGATGCTTAGGTTTCAGGTCCAGGGATAGCCAGAGACGTCTGAGGTTTTTAAGAACGCAGGATAAGGGAGAGGGAGGGAGGGAGGGATGGAGAGCGGGAGGTTGACCATAGTTTAAGAACAGCGGAGACAAAGAAGGTGAATGCGGGACCAAGCAGTTTAGCAGGCATCCCAGACTAAACCTTGGTCTGAACCTGAGGTGAGTCAGTCAGAGGGGATGTCCCCCATGTTATCCATCACCCTACTAGTGTGAGGGAGTGACCAGAGCAGACGTCTCCGCAATAATCAGTCACCAAATGAGTGCCAGTGAGTGATCAAAGCAGACATCTCTGCACTGGTCAGTCACCGAGGGAAGACTGTCTTCCCAGTTCCATGACCTACATAGGATTTTTTCCAGTCATGAATCTCATGGAAAGTCCTGTCTTTCTTGTCTCTGCTGAAAGGGAGAGGAAAATAAAACTGAAAGGAGAAGGAAGCTGACAGGTAGTAAGAAAAGCAAAAGACCTAAGGCAAACCGCTTACCTGGTCTGAGGATGCTGAGTGGATGCTTGGGCTGGTCTGATGAGCCTAGGTTGTAGGTAGGTCTCTGCACAGAGGGAGCACAAGGGTCCAGGGGTTTGGTCTCCTGTAGGAGTTCCCTTGTCCCGGGTTTTGGCACCAGTTGTCACGCAGTTGCTCATGTAAAGAGACCATCAGACAGGCTTTGTGTGCGCAACAAGCCTGTTTATTTCACAGTTGGGTGCAAGCAGGCCAAGTCTGAGAAGTAGGTTGGGGCAAATGGTCAGCTAAAGGAGGTAAGCTTGGGGAGGGGGCGGACATCACAGGATGCATGATTACAAGGGTAGGGGTCATTGATTACAAACAAGCATGATCATAAGGGTGGGGAGTATCGGTGGCAGCGGAGAGGAAGGTGCGGTAGATTACATAGTTACAGGCGGAGGAGTCTTGAGAAACCCAGCGTCTGGGGGAAAAGTTTTGCAAGGCTGAACAGGAACAATGGGTCCAGGTTGCAGCAAATAGTTGAGGCAGGAACAAGTTGTTTTAGTTCTTTTTGTGGCCACCTGGTTACTTGTGGTTACTTCAGACTTCTTGGCTTCTGGGGACCATCCAGAGGTGTACGTGCAGGTCTCCAAAGCTAAAAGGGCCAGGCCTGGACTTGGAGGCCTAACAGATTCCATCTCTCATGACTCAGTGACATAAACTCTAGGAAGAGGACTCATGCCAAGACGTGGAGGGAGACGGGGTGTGGGCCCGTGGTGTCAGGGCTGCTGGGCAGCAGGGATTGTGCAGGGGCCACATCTGGATGCACCGTCAGCTCTCTGTAGACCAGGAATAGAGCAGCTGCCAATGGAAGTCATGTATTAATGTGGGCAAAGTACATGGTAAATTCTAGAAAAAAAGATCGATGACGGGAAATCTTTTTTGCCTGATGTTATACTACATTTTTAGGTTTTTGAGTGAGTTACTGTGTTTCTGACTCCTAAAATCTTCCTCATTAGAATGGAAAGTTCCTACACAGACATGAATGATACAAGGTGTTTGATTCCATCATTATTTTAAGAATATGAGGCCAGGCACAGTGGCTTAGGCCTGTAATTCCAGCACTTTGGGAGCCCGAGACAGGTGAATCAAGAGGTCAGAAGTTTGAGACAAGCCTCACCAACATGGTGAAACTCTGTCTCTACTTTTTTTTTTTTTTTTTTAGTTCTACTTAGAATACAAAAATAAAATTGTAAAAATGCAAAAAGGAAAAAAAAACCTGCACTCCAGCCTGGCCAACAGAGCAAGACTCTGTCTCCTTGCCAAAAAAAAAAAAAAAAAGAAATACGAAAAGACAAAAGTGCCTTTTCTACTCTCACATGCCACTAAGCACAGAATGCCTCACTTTTGATCACCAGAGTGGGTGGATTTCTCCCCAGTTACATCCTGGAGTGCAATGGCCTGATCTCAGCTCGCCGCAACCTCTGTCTCCCAAGTTCAAGTGATTCTCCTGCCTTAGCCTCCTGAGTAGGTAGGCAACAGCTGTCTCAAAATAAAATACATGAAGACAAAATTACTCAAAGTACAAAAGGCTAATAAGAGACTCAAGAATGCAACCATTTGTCTCTTATCTACCTATGTCCTGGAGGCCCCCTCTCCTACTTTAAGTTGTCCCTCCTTTCCAGACTGAACCAGTATATATCTTTTTTTTTTTTTTTTTGAGACGGAGTTTCTTTCTTGTTACCTAGGCTGGAGTGCAATGGCGCGATCTCGGCTCACCGCAACCTCCGCCTCCCGGGTTCAGGCAATTCTCCTGCCTCAGCCTCCTGAGTAGCTGGGATTACAGGCACGCGCCACCATGCCCAGCTAATGTTTTGTATTTTTAGTAGAGACGGGGTTTCACCATGTTGACCAGGATGGTCTCGATCTCTTGACCTCGTGATCCACCCGCCTCGGCCTCCCAAAGTGCTGGGATTACAGGCTTGAGCCACCGCGCCCGGCCACCAGTGTATATCTTATACTTGTCATGTCTCCCTAAAATGTATAAAGGCAAGCTATACCTAGACCATAGTGAGCACCCCCTATCAGGAACTCCTGAGGCTGTCATGGGCATGCTCTTAAACTGGGTAAGATAAACTTTCTAAACGGATTGAGACCTGTCTCAGATACTTGGTTCACAAACTATTTTGAAAGCCCCAGGTGATATATTTTAGTTGCTGTCAGAAAAAAAAACTAGACCAGGTGTGGTGGCTTACACCTGTAAACCCAGTACTTTGGGAGTTTGAGGGGGGCCATCATACTCCCAGCTACTCCAGAAGCTGAGGCAGGAGAATCACTTGAACCTGGGAGGTGGAGGTTGCAGTGAGCTGAGATTGCCCCACTGCATTCCAGCCTGGGCAACAGAGCGAGATTCTGTCTAAAAGAAAAGAAAAAGCTGGTTTCAGGTTACAACAGGAAGTTTCAGCAGGCATGCTTCAGAGAATTATATCTTGAAGCAGTGTTTGTGTCCTGAGTTCATTTTCCATCTGGCCTCTTGACTTTGGCTTAGTTTTTTTTTTTTTTTTTTTTTTTTTTTTGAGACGGAGTTTCGCTCTTGTTACCCAGGCTGGAGTGCAATGGCGCGATCTCGGGTCACCGCAACCTCCGCCTCCTGGGTTCAGGCAATTCTCCTGCCTCAGCCTCCTGAGTAGCTGGGATTACAGGCACATGCCACCATGCCCAGCTAATTTTTTGTATTTTTAGTAGAGACGGGGTTTCACCATGTTGACCAGGATGGTCTCGATCTCTTGACCTCGTGATCCACCCGCCTCGGCCTCCCAAAGTGCTGGGATTACAGGCTTGAGCCACCGCGCCCGGCCGACTTTGGCTTAGTTTTGAAGCAGCCTGATTGTCTGGGGTAATAACTGAGGTTCCTTGTCTCACAGCCATGGAGATCAAGAATGTGGACACCCTAGTGTGAGGTTAAGAGCAGAAGTTCAATAGGTGAAATAAAGACAACAGCTCTCTGCTACAGAGAGGGGTCCTGGAAAAATGGTTTGCAGATCCGTGGTGAAATGCAGGGTGTTTTATAGATGAGCTGGTGGGGAGGCAGTGTCTTAATCTACATGGGGTTTAAAAAACTGGGTAGGACCAGATGTGCCATTTGCATAGGGCATTAATTTCTGGCAGGCCCCTCCATTATCTTTGATTATGCAGGTGGGTTCTTTGCCTGAGCTGTGCCATGTTGCCCCTTTCTTAGTGTACACATGCTAACAAAGGGAAGACGGAGCTTCCCTGGTGGACACGCCTGGCCCCTAGGTAGCCCCTTTTCTGTTGGCACAGCTGCCGACACTCCCCCAAACGAGCTTCCAGCTTGCTTGTATGTTTGCAGATTGATTTTTTAGTCTGTTCCATTAGAACAAAATGATTTTTGGGGCAGCTTTTTGTTAGAAGGACAGCTCTGCTGAGGACTTTTTTGCTTTTACTATCTGTCTAAATAATTTCTTTTTGCCTCTTGTATCAGTTGGATATGGCAAGAGTGACCCAGGTTATATGATGAACTTTCATTACAGTGCAATTTCTGTAAGATTAGCTGAGAGAAAGGATGTGTGGACCCAAAATCAGGCAAGCAAGTTTTATTAACCTGCCGGGCTGCTTTGTAACCATCAGAGGAGGCAGCCCCGAGCTTACAAAAGGAGGGGTCCCTATAGGGTGAGAGGGGCCTAAGACAGTTTCAGGTCTGAGATAATCTATCAGCTTGTAACAAGCGCAGAGATAGCTTGTCAGCTTGTGACAGACTTACATCATCCTGTGACCTTTGTAGTGGCAGTTCTTAAAAAACAGAAATTTACAAGTATGTGTAACTAACATTTGTTCTCCCTGTCCTCCCATGAGCTGCCCAGATGGTTGTAATCAGGTTTTGCTTACTTGTAGCACCTAGATGGGAGTTCAGGAATCCAGCTTGAGAGCAATCTGAGTGTGGGGGGTTCAGTTATGTGGAGGGGGTTTTCTGAGGCAGCTTGTCCCTAACATTCCTGCCTGTTAATAGGTAATAGAAGAGGGACGCTGTTGTCATCTGGCGGCTTCTTGTTGGACAGGGGAGACTGGGGCGGGGGGGGCCTAGGTAGCAGGGATTGTCATTCCTGGAGATGTCAGTATTCTTGGAGCAGCGTCATATCTTGTATTGTTCCATGCGTGAACGCTTTAATACGGTCCTGTAAAAAGTGGGTGAGGAGTTGTAAGAGACAGGGGCCAGTTGCTAGAAGGAGAAAAGGGTTATGGCAGGACATAGGAAGGGCAGTAGCCATGGTGCCCGGGGGTTACAGAACCACTGGGGCCAGGTGAACTGACTGTCCTTAAGTTTTTGTGCTCGGTCTTTGAGCTGTTTTTTTCTTTTGAGATGGAAGTTCACACTTGTTGCCCAGGCTGGAGTGCAATGGTGTGATCTTGGCTCACCGCAACCTCCACCTCCTGGGTTCAAGCAATTCTCCTGCCTCAGCCTCCCTGAGTAGCTGGGATTACAGACATCCGCCACCATGCCCAGCTAAGTTTTGTATTTTTAGTAGAGACAGGGTTTCTCCATGTTTGTCAGGCTGGTCTCGAACTCCTGACCTCAGGTGATCCACGCCCCTCGGCTTTCCCAAAGTGATGGGATTACAGGTGTGAGCCACCACGCCTGGCTGGTCTTTGAGCTTTTTGACAGCATCTCATACTAACCCAGATTTATTGAGGCAGAAACAGCATTGTTCATTTAAAAAGAGGCACAGACCTCCTTTTTCAACAGTGAAGAGTTCTAGGCCTCTGTGGTTTTGTAGGGCAACTGCCACTGAACAGTCTAATTGGTTTTGGAGGTGAGTGATACAGTCTGCTATTTCTTCTAGTGATGATTGGAAGTCTCAGGAGAGTGACTGAAAATATGAGGTTTCTAGGCTTCCTGCTCCTAACCCGACGCTACCTGTGACTCCGAGGGCTGCTAATACAGGAATGAACTGTATTGCTCTTTTTGGGTGGATGTGTAATGTAGCAGGGACAGGGAGTTCTTGGTTCAGAGCGACAAGGTTAATGTTGGGGGTAAGGTAGACCAGGGTGCAGGTACCTGTCCAGTGGGTAGGGAGACAGAAGTAGGTTGTGGATCCGCAGAGGAAGAAGACGCCTGCGGTGTTAATGCAAACAGACAAGTGGGTTGAGAATAGGTGTTGGGGTGCATAGGTTCCTCATTTGGAGGAATTCAGTTCAGCTTCAGCAATCCACAGTGAGGAGGAGAGACCGACCCCTTTGAGAACTCCTGTCTGGGGAAGGGGCTTCCATGTTTGAGAGGCAGGAGGGGAGGTAATGTGGAGGGGCTGGGTAAAGTGGCTGTTGGCTTCAGGGGTCACTGAATAATTTACTCAGAGTGAGGTATGGGAAGAGGGATGAGAGATGGTCTGAGTTGAGCCACAGGCAGAGTGAGGGATGGTGCCTGCGTGTATGTGTCCATTCCAAGAGGTGACACATAGGGGTCCTGGCCATGTTTTGTGGTGTGGAGGTTTATAGAACATTGGATGGCAGGGTGAGGGAGTTTTGCACGGTTGTAGTTGGCAGTGTATGTGAAGAGTTTGGTAGCTCTGTTAGTAATGGCAGTGGATAGTTTGCAGTGAGAGTGAGGGCTCCGTCTAGAAAAGCAGAGGCTTTTTGGATGGTGTATAAAAAAGCGAACAGGAGTATGGTCCCAGGGCTGAGAAACTGGGAGAGCTGTCTAGGCAGTAGAGGAAAGGGAAACGCAGGTGCAGCAACGGGAAGCAAATGTAGAGCTGGAGCACATCAACAAGGAGTGAGAGATCCAGAGAGCACAGGAGCCTCAGTAACAAGGAGTGAGTGATCCAGAGAGCGCAGGAGCCTCAGTTACAAGGAGTGAGTGATCCAGAGAGCGCAGGAGCCTCAGTAACAAGGAGAGATCCAGAGAGCCTTTGAGCCGTGTAGCAGTGAGAAGGGAGTCTCAGGGAGCAGAGGCAGTGGGTGACTATTAAAATAGAAACTTGAAGGCTGGGCACAGTGGCTCACGCCTGTAATCCCAGCACTTTGGGAGGCCGAGGTGGGTGGATCATGAGGTCAAGAGATCGAGACCATCCTGGTCAACATGGTGAAACCCCGTCTCTACTAAAAATACAAAAAAAATCAGCTGGGCCTGGTGGCGCGTGCCTGTAATCCCAGCTACTCAGGAGGCTGAGGCAGGAGAATTGCCTGAACCCAGGAGGCGGAGGCTGCGGTGAGCCGAGATCGCGCCATTGCACTCCAGCCTGGGTAACAAGAGCGAAACTCCGTCTGAAAAAAAAAAAAAAAACTTGGAGGAATGGGATTCTGTGTCTGGGGGAGGGAGTTCGTAGGGGCTGTACAGGGACATGGCCTCTTCTAGAGGGTCTGAGGCAGCTGATAATGCCACATGGCTCATCAAATTCTCACTGCAAATGAGCAATGAATAGGTGAGCTAGTACTTTATGTTCATGTGGAAATGGGAGACGGGAAGATTTCTAATATTTGGTATGCTTTGTGGGGAGGCCATTCCTTGTCACGAGGCCTTGGCACCTGGAGCAGGGACAGTGGTGATATATGGAGTTACCGCTTGTGAGTCTTCTTTGGGGATGGGCGGAGGATGGCAGTTGGCAGATCAGTGGGTGCTTTGGGAGCTCTTTTTAATCGGGAAAGATGATACCAAGAGACAGGTCCTGAGAGTCTGGCCGCAGTGGGGGTTGCAAGAACTTGAAAGGGACCTTCTCACTTTGGCTTAAGTCTTGCTGGGTTAAGAGTTTTTAGGATGACATGCTCTCCTGGTAGGAGAGTCTGGTTGGTGGGATTTCCTGTGGGATTTTGGGAGGGCCTGGTCTGCTTGTTCACGCAGGAGATGGCAGATGCGGAAAAACGTTGGGAGGTACTCTCCTAGCTGAGTTAGAAGGGGCCTGTTTTGTAGGAGGAAAGGGAATCCATACATTAACTCAAATGGGCCGAGAAAGGAGGGTGCTTTTGGGCTGGCTCTGATATGGGCTAGGGCTATGGGCAGAAGGGAGGTCTGGGGTTTCTAGACTTCAAGAGTGAGTTTGTAACTGACTCTTGTTTTTGATCTTTGACTACCCAGCTCCCTTGCAAGGAGGCCTCTTATTGTAGCACGGAAGATTCCGCAGTGGGAGAATATTGGGGTTGCATTGTGGGGGTAATGAGGAGGAAAGGAACAGGGACAGAAGGAAGGGAGGCTGCTTTGGCTGCCTCCCCAGCCTTTCTGTTTCCTCTTGTCATCTGACCCTGTTTGATGTCCCCGACACTGCATAACTCCCGCGTGAGCTGGGAGGTGTGCAGCTTGGAGAAGTTGGTAAATAAGGGGCCGTTAATGAAGGGGTTCCTTTGGTGGTAAGGAATCCTCTCTTGCCAGATGGCCGCGTAAGAATGGAGAATGAGACAGGCATATTTGGACTTGGTACACATGTTGACACTTTTGCCTTTGGAGAGGTTCGGGCCCTGGTGAGAGCTGCAGTTCTGCCTTTTGGGAGGCGGTCCCTGGGGTTAGAGGTTTGGCTTCAATTACTCGGTCAAGGGAGACGACTGTGTACCTGGCATTTGATGGGAGTTAGCTGACTTGGAAGAGGAGTCATCTGTAACTAACTGGCGATCAGGATCAGTGAGAGGTTCAGGGGCGATATTAGGGAAACGAGGCTGTAGGTAGGATTTCAGTACAGGAGCGGGTGGGAGGGGAGGAAGATACTGGAAGTAGGGAAGCAGGATTGACGGGAGCACTTTTGGAGAGGCGGAACTCCGGGTCTTCAAGAAAGAGGGCATGGAGTAGTTAGATCTGAGAAGGAGAAAGTGTGCTCAGTGCTCGGGAGGAGAGGAGAGCTTGTAGATCACGTGGACTGGTAGTTTCATGCTCTCTGCGGCTTGGATGGTGGCTGCTGCTGGGGTTCTGAGGCAGGTCGGCCCCTCTTCGGCAGTGTTGTCTAGTTGTTTAGATAGGTAAGCTATGGGAGAGAGGAAAGAGGACTTCCTTTTCTTTCAACAAGGGCTATTCCATGGTTTTGGGCTGTGTAGAGAATGAAAGGCTGAGAAATGTCAGGCAGACAGTGCAGCAGTTACAAGGGTGGCTTTAACTTTGTGGAAGCTAGGGATTATGCTGTGTGAAGGATTTCGGGGCTCACTGAGAGGGCCTTTAGCTGCTTCACAGACGGTGCGGGCTAGGAGGGAACAATTGGGAATCCATATTGTGAAGATTTCACCTTTAGAGGTGGGTGGGGGCAGGCTGTCTATCAATCAGTGCTGCCCGTGCTGGGGTCATGGCTTGGGCCCCGTGGTAGAGCTGAACTCTTAAGTATGTCACTGTTGGAGTGGAGAGGTGGGCTTTGGAGGGGGAAACCCTATATCCTTTACTAGCAAGAACGTTTACAAGGGTAATTAATAGTGTGAGTCTGAGAGCCCTATAGGGAGGAGTTACAGAGGAGGAGGTCATCCACCTACTAGAGGAGCTGGCTAGGGAAGAGGTCAAGGGAGGTCAGGTCTTGAGCTAGAGCTTGTCCAAACAAACAGGGGCTCTCTAAAGCTTTGAGGGAAGACTGTCCAAGTACATTGTCCTGACTGGAGAGTTTCAGGGTCAGTCCAAGTGAAAGCAAAGAGATTTTGGGAGTCAGGATGAAAAGAAATGTTTTTTTTTTTAAAAAAGGCATCTTTTAGGTCTATTTCAATGTCATGTGTTGTGTCTACAGGGATGAGAAAAAAGGAGTATATAAGGGTTGGGAACCACCGAATGAATGGGAAGGACTGATTGCTAGTCCGGAAATCGCAGACTAGCCAATATGTGGGTCGTAAGCCTTTTAGGTGTGTTAATGAAATGGGATACTGAGAGACGTTAGGAAATTTGGAGGGGTCTTTTAGCTGGATTTTGATGTGGTCATGATGAGCTGCTGGAGAAGGGGTAGTGTCCCACATTACGGGATTAACAAGAGAAGTGGGGAGTGGATACTGGGGGAGGGGCGAAGGGCTGGTGTGGTAGTGGAGTAGGAGAGAATCTGGTTGTGGGGAACAGAAAAAGCTGATGGAAGCTTTGTATTTGGTTAGAGATCTGCCTAGGATGGAGGTAAGGCAATGAGGCATGGTAAGGAAAGAGGTGAGGAAACAGTATTAAATAGGGAACAAGTAAGACGTCCAGTGGCATGTGGGCACGAGATGAGTCCGTCAACCCCAACTGAAACCTGAGAGCAATTAGTGGTCCTGAGAATTGAGGCAAAGCCGAATGTACCCCAGTATTGATTTAAAAAGCAGTGGGCTTACCTGCTACTAGCAGAGTTACCCTGGGCTCTGAGGCAGTAACGGCAGAGGGGGCTGGGGGCCCTGGGCCTCGCCAGGCTTCAGCAGCTAGGCCCAGGGGCTGCGGGAGTGCAAGCCCCGCTTCACTTTTCGTCTTGCTGAAGAGGTGGTGGCTCTGAGGCGCAAGCTTTTCTGTCTGTCTGTTGAGAGGACGTTAGACTTCCAGTGGCCTGATGGCGAAGTGGGCAAGGGGTTTCTGGCACTCGGGTTAGGGCATGCCTGCACCCAGTGGCCTTCTTTGCTGCATTTTAAACAAGGCCCAGGAGAGCCCCTGCTGTTGGGTCATGTGTGCCCTTGGGTCCTGTGGCTAGAAGCTGGTATTTAGCATGATTTTGGGGGCTTTATCTAATTTACTTTACTCATCCCTGTTATTGAAGACTTTGAAAGCCAGGTTAAGGAGGTCTTCTTGGGGGGTCTGAGGACCGTCTTCAGCCTTTTTCTGTTTGTGACAGATGTCAGGGGCAGATTGAGAGATAAAATGCGTATTAAGAACAGTAGTTTCTTCTGGGGAGGCAGGGTCAACATGAGTATGTTTTTGGAGAGCCTCTGTAAGGCAGAAAAGGAACTTGGCCGAATTTTCATCTGCTTTTTGGGAAATTTCTTTGGTTTTCTGGCAGCTTTATTAAGGCCTGCAATGAGGCAGGTGATCATATGGCTGGGGGATGCCCAGCCGCTGTCTGTGGGTCGGCACTCTCAGGAAGGCTCTTCCCGGGGAACAGCAGCGGCTCCTACAGGCTTTGTAGGGTCTTGCCAGTGAAGACTGTCAGCCTGTGCCTGGGCTATGAGCCACAATCTTTCCTTTTGGAAGGAGGGTAGAAGAGAGAGCAATATAGAGATCAGTGTGTTCATCAGACTAGGTGAGATATTTAAATTCTTTGATATAAGTATCAGGATTGGAGGAGAAGGACCCGAGATGGTTTTCAATCTGGGAGACATCAGAGAGGGAGAAGTGGAGGTGGACACGGACAAGTCCTTCAGCCCCTGCTACTTCCCAAAGGAGAAGCAAGGGAGCTCGTTGCTGGGCATGTTGGGCTTGAGACGGGTAAGGGGTGGAGATGGGGAGGACTCGGACAGAAGCAGGGTGGTTGGAGAGAGAGGGGGAAGAAGGGATAGGGCCAGAGCGGGGCATATGGCGGAGTATCATGAGGCTCTGGTGGGGAATCATGAGGAGGAGAAAAATCAGTGGGGTCAAAGGCAGAGGAGTTGTTGGCTGGGGCTGTGGGGCGTGTAGCAGGCTGTCAGTCATGGGCTGGAGTTGTGGGGCCAGTGACACAGGGAGAGTTGGGTTCGGAGTGAGCGAGGAGGATCTGGGAAGTAGAACAGGACTGGCAGAGGAGAGGATGGCTACCATTTCCCATTGTGAAGGCAAAAGTTGTCTAGGTATATTGAAATCAAAAGTGCCATTTTTGGGCCATTGTGAGCCACTGTCGAATTTGTATTGAGACTATACCGGAGACACCCAATGGGGGTAGTTTTGGAAGATGTAGACCGAAAGGCTCCCACAGCGAATTGGGGAGGAAGAAGAGACTGCCAATTGACAAGCAGCGCAGGAGAGGGTGTCCCCTGTCCTGCGGGCCCTGTCCAGATTACAGGAGGTAGCCACCGAGTCAGGCATCCCTGAAATGGAGGAACCAGAGGCCTGGAGGCTGGAGAAAGCCCTTGGCCCAGCACTGGGTCTTTCGGGAAGGCAGAGACATCAAGGGTTCTGGGTGAATGGCAAAAGTCTCTTACCCTGGCAGAGGCTCTGATGGTAGATGAGGTCGCCGGCAGTGGGAGAGTCTTGGAGAGCCTCTGGGTCTTCAGCAGGTTTGAGAAGGGGAGGGTTGGCCAGGAGAGAGAGGGACAGAGAGAGCCCCTTAAGGATGCTTTTCTCGGGTTTGGCGCCAAAATGTAAGGTTAGCCAAGAGATAAGGATATACAGACCCAAAGTTAGGCAAGCAAGTTTAACCTGCTGGGCAGCTTTGTAACAATCAGAGGAGGCAGGCATGATTGTATGTCCTCAAATTGTATGATGTCTGATTCCATCCTGAAAACAATTTGTAGATTCTCACTGTTTGTGTCTAGACATGAAGAATCCTATAGGTAAGATAAAGCTATGCAGGTAGAAGGAACATGATTAACCCATAGTTAAGAAAACAACATTAAATCTTATTAACACATAAGATCTATGATACATTCTAAATAAAACAATAGGAAATGTAGCCTGGCCAACTCGGTGAAACCCCACCTGTACCAAACAATACAAAAAGTAGCCGGGCATGGTGGTGGCCTGCCTGTAGTCCCAGATACTCGGAAGGCTGAGGCAGGAAAATTGCTTGAACCAGGGAACTGGAGGTTGCAGTAAGCCAAGACTGCTTCCTTGCACTCCAGCCTGGGTGAGAGAGTGAGATCCTATCTCAAAAAACAAACATACAATGGGAAATGCAATGCTCAAGTTAAAAGGGATTTCTAATCAAGAACATGCTATTGTGCCTTTTTTGTTTTAAACTAACATTAAACTCTCCTCTTTGGGCCAGGCACAGAGGCTCACGCCTGCAATCCCAGAACTTTGGGAGGCCAAGGCAGAAAGATGGCTTGAGCCCAGGAGTTCAAAACCCGCTTGGGACATAGTGAGGCCCTGTCTGTACAAATAGAAGAAAGAAAAAAAAAAAAACAACAAAACAAAAAACCAAAAACCCTTTCCTCTGTGGTAGTTATGCTTTTCAATTTCAAGATTAACATCAATTTTTCTTCAATCTTGCTATATGACAGCTACTGCCATTCAATGGAAAGGTGGCTAACATTTCCCCTGCATTACTTCTACCATACATAATCACTTCCTGTTAACATATTAATCGTCTTCAATAAAAACTGCAGTCTCTTAAGATCTTGGACTGCCCTATTTAATGACTGGTTAGTAAAGCATTTCTTCTCTATAATCCACACTAGTCCTCTCTGTCAAGGATGCCCTGTGTGCAATAAGTATGACTGATACCACAGCTTTACATTATTCTCAGACCCTTCCAAAGCCTAATTCAGCCAACTTCTTTTTTCCTTTCTATTTTGAGACAGAGTCTCACTCTGTCATCCAGGCTGGAGTGAAATGGCATGATCTAGGCTAACTGCAACCTTCAACTTCTGAGTTCAAGCTATTCTCCTGCCTCAGCCTCCTGAGTAGCTGGGATTACAGGTGCAAGCCACAATGTCCAACCAATTTTTGTATTTTTAGTAAAGATGGGGTTACACCATGTTGGCCAGGCTGGTCTTGAACTACTGACCTCAAGTGATCCACCCATTTCTGCCTCCCAAAGTGCTGGGATTAGCCAGTATTCAGCCAATATTTAATTACAAAAGATAGTGTCCCTGTTTCCCAGAAATAAGAATAGAAAGGATCTCACCTAATGAAGTAGGCCATTTCCTTCTATTCTTGCCTGTAGATCATGAAATGACTGTAAGAAAGACATCGTGAAAACATTTCAAATGTCAGCCTGAAAGTCAAAAATGGTAAAGAAACCTTTCTCCTTCAATAATGTAATACATTATTTTATAACCTTAAGGTAACTGGCCATTTCCAAATACCCTTGAGTCTTTCATATATGTCATAACTTTTAACATATTTTGAATTGTAATTATTCTGCAGAATATAGTATAAAAGATTAATGGCAGAGAATTAGACTTCATGTGAGCTCTCAGATAAATTATAAGAAAATTGGTCAAATTACTTACCATATCATTACATTTGTAAGGGTTCCATTATGATTTCTTTTTTTGAGACAAAGTCTCGCTGTTGCCCAGGCTAGAGTGCTGGAGTTCAGTGGCATGATCTCAGCTCACTGCAACCTCCACTTCCTGCATTCAAGTGATTCTCCTGCCTCAGCCTCCTGAGTAGCTGGGATTACAGGCACGCACCACCACACCCAGCTAATTTATTTTTAGTAGAGATGGGTTTCACCAGGTTGGTCAGGCTGTTCCCGAACTCCTGACCTCATGATCTGTCCACCTCAGCCTCCCAGAGTGCTGGGATTACAGGGGTCAGTCACCATGCCCGATTTCCAGTGTAAGTTTTTAACGAGCCCTAAAGATGCATCTTAGACAAGTGACCTTTCCAGATTCACATTTGCCTGGATTTTATTGAGTAGATCTCTCACGACAAAATCATGAATATTACACTGAAAAGCTTATTTCATTCATTATCTTTGTGTAGTTACTCTCCAGTATAAGCCCTGTGATGTTCCACAGTTTTGATGCTTCGGTGAAAGTCTAAGCATGCACCGTACATTTGTATGGTTTCATCAAAGTTTCTGATGCCTAGTGTGACTATGGCCTGTGGAAAACTTCTAATCACATATAATTATACAAATGCTCTTTAGTATGAATTCTCTGATGTTGATCAATGTTTGAACTCATCACGGTTTCCCACTCTCAGCGTTTTTGTAATGTTTCTCTCCAGTATCAATTTTTCCAGCATTGTACAATGTGAGAATTGTGCCAGAACACCTTGTGACATTCATTGCATTTGTTAGGTTTCTCACCAGCAAGAATTCTTTGGAGAAATACCTTAAGGCCTTGCCACCTTTAATACATTAGTAAGGTTTCGCTCCACTATGGACCACCTAATGGTTATTAAGCATTGAACAAAATCTAGAGGCTGTGCTAAATTCATTACCCTTGCAAAGTTTTTCTGCAGTATGGTTGTTTTTTGTTTTTTTTTGTTGTTTTTTTTTTTTGAGACTGAATTTGACTTGTTACCCAGGTTGGAGTGCAATGGTGCAGTCTTAGCTCGCTGCAACCTCTGCTTCCTGGGTTCAAGCAATTCTCCTGCCTCAGCCTCCCAAGTAGCTGGCATTACAGACTCCCACCACCACTCCTGGCTAATCTTTGTATTTTTAGTAAAGAAGGGGTTTCATCATGTTGGTCAGGCTTCTTGAACTCCTAACTTCAGGTGATCCACTTACCTCAGCCTCCCAAAGTGCTGGGATTACAGGATTGAGCTACCACGCCCAACTCTCCTATATAAATTACCCTGTGTCTTGCAAGGCTTTAACACTGACTGAACACTCTGCGGTATTAATTACATTTGAAAGGTTTCTCTCCAGCATGGATTACACAATGGTTAGTAAGGCTTGAACGCACGCTAAAGGTTTTGCCACATTCATTACATTTGTAACGTTTCTCTCCAGTGTGAATTTTCCTATGATGTGCTAGGGATGAGTTTAGACTGAAGACCTTTCCACATTCATTACATTTGTAAGGTTTTTCTCCAGTATGAATTCTTTGATGGTATACAAGATATGAATTTTGACTGAAGACTTTGCCACATTCATTACATTTGTAAGGTTTCTCTCCAGTGTGAATTCTACGATGTTGTACAAGATGTGAATTTTGACTGAACACTTTGTTACATTCATCACACTTGTAAGGTTTCTCACCAGTATGAATTATCAGATGTTGGGCAAGGTATGAATTGCGACTAAATACCTTGCCGCATTCATGACATTTGTAAGGTTTCTCTCCAGTATGAATTCTCCAGTGGTTTGCTAGGGATGACCTGTGACTGAAGACCCTGCCACATTCTTGACATTTGTAAGGTTTCTCTCCAGTGTGAATTCTACGATGTTGTGCAAGGTGTGAAATATGATTGAAGACCTTTCCACATTCATGACATTTGTAAGGTTTCTCTCCAGTGTGAATGACCAGATGTTGTACAAGGTAGGAGTTGCGACTGAACACCTTGCCACATATATTACATTTGTAAGGTTTTTCTCCAGTATGAATTGTCCGATGTTGTGCAAGGTGTGAAATTTGATGGAATACCTTTCCACATTCATTACATTTATAAGGTTTCTCTCCAGTATGAATTCTTCGATGTTGCGTAAGGTGTGAAATTTGACTAAAGACTTTGCTACAATCATTACATTTATAAGGTTTCTCTCCAGTATGAATCCTGCGATGCTGTGCAAGGTGTGAAATGTTATTGAAGACCTTGCCACATTCGTTACATTTATATAGTTTCTCTCCGGTATGAATTCTTCGATGACTTGCAAGGTTTGATTTTTTATTGAAGATGTTGCCACATATATCACATTTAAATTGCTTCTCTTCAGAATGGATTATTTGATATATGGTAAAATGTAAGTCTCGATGAAAGGTCTTGCCACACTCGTTATATTTGTAATGTTCCGTCCGAACGTTTGCTCTCTCTCTTTCTGTGAATACAGAATCCGTAAGATGACATTTATATGTATGAGAAAGGTGGGTTTTGACAGCAGAAGAAATACTTTGGGGTGGGGAAACTAAGGAACTACTGTTGATAGATTTTTCCATGTGATTATATTGATGTATTTTCCCTTCAGCTTGAAATACCTGCAGTTCTGGTAGATGTGACTGGAGGTTTAATACAAGCTGATTTTTAATAGGGTTATTTTGCTTTTGCATATCATCCTTTCTACCCTTATAGGTCATAAATTTGTAATGTCTTTCATCGCGTCTCCACAGACACTGAGAGTCATGTACGTTTTTTTGGATTTCTCTGAAGCAAAAATCGTCTATGCCATGACTTTCGTGTCTTTCCAACATTACTGTTTGCAATACTTCTCCTGTGTTACTCTTCTCTTTTGGTTGTAATTCCTTGACCTCACATTTAGGAAAGATACCTACAAGATATAAGAAATCCTCAGTTTCCAACTGATTACAGATGGTCAATAAATATCTCCTATTGAAATACATAATATTACACTAAAAGTAATACTTACGTTGAATAGAGTTATAAAATTCCTAATTATGATTTTAATTTTTGAAAAACAAAAGGAACAGGTATTTTCTAACAAAGAAAGGGTGACTGCACATAATTCAAGCTAACTGCAGAAAAGCTTAATATGAAGGAATCTATGAACAAACCACTTACACTGCAAAAACTTAGCACCCCAAAAAGGAGAATTTTTCCAACATGAAGCCATAGCATACTACAATGGAAGGAAAACATATGGCTATCTAGTAATTGAAAAAAAAAGTTGTATTTCAGAAATTTATTGAAAGTTCAGAGAAAACATTCTTTGGAGCAAACTAAACATGGGAAAAGCCTGTAAAAACTAGAGTGCTTGCTTCCTTTCATTCTAACATATGAGACAGCAAGAAGCAGGCTGGGGGCTGCTATAATCCCAGCATTTTGGGAGGCCAAGATGGGTGAAATTGAAATTTCCTAGCATTACAGTGGAGCTATTTCTTTCAACTCAATGAAATAATTAAGCAAGAAGACAAGATGAATTTGAACAAAGCCTCCAGAATATGGAATATGTGAACAGACCAAATCGACGTTTGATCAGTATACCTGAAGGTGACAGAGAGTATGAAACCAAGTTGGAAAACACCCTTCACATTATCTAGCAGACCTTCCCCAACCCAGAAAAGCAGGTCAACATTCAAATTCAGGAAACAACACCACAAATAGCCTTCTCAAGAAGAGCAACCCCAAGACGCATAATCATCAGATTCACCAGGGTTGAAATGAAAGGAAAAATGCCAAGGGCAGCCAGAGAGAAAGGTGGTGTTACCCACAAAGGGAAGACCATCAGACTCACAGCAGATCTCTCGGCAGAAACCCTACAAGCCAGAAGAGAATGAGGGCCAACGTCTTTAAAGAAGAAAAACAAACTAAGCTGCATAAGTAAAGGTGAAATAAAATCCTTTACAGACAAGCAACTGTTCAAAGAATTTTTGTCACCACCAGGCCTGCCTTACAAGAGCTCCTGAAAAAAGCACGAGACATGGAAAGGAAATGAGCCAAATTAAAGACAGAGACTGGCAAATTGGATAAAGAGTCAAGACTCACCGGTGTGCTGTACTCAGGAGACCCAGATGTTTACAGAGCTCAAAGAAATAGCTCCACTGTAATGCTAGGAAATTTCAATATCCCACTTCAATAATGGATAAAACAGCAAGACAACTGATCAATAGAGGCTTGGGTGCATGGCTCACACTTGCAGTCCTAGCATTTTGGGAGGCCGAGGACAGGTGTTTGATACCAGCCTGGCAAACATAGTGAAACCCCATCTCTGCTAAAAAAAAAAAAAAAAAAAAAAAAAAGTAGTAATCAGTGGTTAAAACAAATAACAGTGAACTTTAAACCAGAGGCCTTATGCTCCCCACAACAACCTGGGGACCCAATACAGGGTCTTTCTGCTGACTGTCTTCCCACTCAGCTGAGAAACCATCCCAGAAGGACCACCTACACCCTTGTGACACATACCAGTAAAGTATGGAAGAAGCACAACTGAAGAATGGCAGAGGGACCTTGTGAAATAAGAAGAAATGCATATATTGCTCTCTTCTCCGGTTCCTGACCAAGAGCTCTGAAGACCTTGGGATGGCCTGGGTGATGGGAGCATGATTTGTCCTCATGAGGCACCTCTATGGTCTCCTGGATGGGTTGATCAGCAAGACCAGGCCAGGCTTAGAAGCATAAACCAGTCACTGCCATCCATCATCTTCCAGGAAGGGGAGAGGGGCTGCAGAGTGAGTTAATATCATCATGACTCCTCTGTGGGACGAGAGCTTCCAAATGCTGAACACATGCAAGTGCCTGGGGCATGCACACCTGTTGAGTCTCCCCATAGTCCTTGTGTGGAGCACAGCTCACTGCAAAGATACCTCTGGAATTAAGTTCACTGTTACTTGTTTAAGCCACTGCTATTCTCATCTAGGACATTTCTATATATTGCACATGATCGTGGCTTGTATTTAGTCTTTGTGTTCTTTGTTGTATATCAATAATGTGTGGAACTGTTACATCAGAGAATGACTACTGATTCACAGGTTAGTGCCTCCCCCTGTGGATCTCTGCCTCTGGCCGTCCATCTGTGACCTGTGAAACATCCTTCATCAAGAACCTAAGAAGGGCCGGGCGCGGTGGCTCAAGCCTGTAATCCCAGCACTTTGGGAGGCCGAGGCGGGTGGATCACGAGGTCAGGAGATCGAGACCATCCTGGTCAACATGGTGAAACCCCGTCTCTACTAAAAATACAAAAAATTAGCTGGGCATGGTGGTGCCTGCCTGTAATCCCAACTACTCAGGAGGCTGAGGCAGGAGAATTGCCTGAACCCAGGAGGCGGAGGTTGCGGTGAGCCGAGATCGCGCCATTGCACTCCAGCCTGGGTAACAAGAGTGAAACTCCGTCTCAAAAAAAAAAAAAAAAAAAGAACCTAAGAAGGTGTTTCACTGAGCTTTGTTGGCTGCGCTAGCAAAGTAATCAAACCCAACAAAAAGGTTGAGAGAACCCAACTCACAGCTGGTTGGTCAGAGGAACATGTGACAATATACTACTTGCAACTGGCATCTGAGGCCGGAGGCTGGCCTTGCCAGCCTGGGAACTCAGCCCTTCACCTGTGAGATCTGACTCTAACTCCAGGTAGGCAGTATCAGAGCTGAATTAAACTACAGGACATTCAGTTTACGTCTGTCCAAGATTTGGATGTGGTTGGGGAAAATACAGAAGGGAGGCATTCTGTGCTCAGTGGCATGTGAGAGTAGAAAAAGCACTTTTGTTTTTTCACCTTTTTGAATCTCAGTCTTATAAACTTACCTGGCATAATCTCTATATTATTCCATCCTTCATCTCCTCCCCAAAGGAAAAGAAAGAGTGTGGCTTATGGCTCAGGCCCATGCCAACAATTTTCGTCGGTAAGACCCTACTCAACCAATAGGGGCCGCTGCCATCCCCCCAGGAAGAACCAGTCTGAGAATACCAGCCCACAGATCCAAGGCTGAGTATCTGGTCCCCATATGGTCACTGGCCTTATTGCAGCCCTTAACAAGGCCACCCATAAGGCTGTACATTTTGAAAAACTCAAACTTCCCAAAAGGCAGATGAAGCTTCACTGGTACAAGGGGCCTCCTTCCAAGGGAACTGGATAGTCAATGACCAAAAACTCATCTTCTCTGAAGAACAAACCAAGGAAATTCTAACATCTGTTCACCCATCCTTCCATATCGGTGCACGCCCCCTGCACCTTCTCCCCCCACCTACTTACCACACTCGAGGACATAACCTCAAACTCTCATGTATGCTCTGCACTTCCTCTCAAGGAGCCCTCCACCCTCCTCGTCCCCACACATCAGCTAAGAGGATCACTCCCAGGAGAAGACTGGCAAGCAGACTTCACCCACATGCCTGCTGTCAGAAAAAGCTAGGTTTCTTCCTAACCTCATAGATACCTTCTCTGGGTGGGTGGAAGCATTCCCCACTTCCTCAGAAAAGGCTGCAGCCGTTTCCCAAATACTTTCTACAGAAATCATCCCTAGCTGTGGTCTCCTGCGCTCCATTCAATCAGACAACGGCCCTAGCTTCGTCTCCCAAATCACCCAACAAGTCTCAGTCTCTCAGCATCCAGTGGCACCTCCATATCCCATACCGACCCCAGTCATCAGGAAAAGTCGAAAGGGCAAGTGGAATCCTTAAGACTCAGTTAACCAAACTCACTCTTGAAGTCCAGCAACCCCGGACCTCCCTTCTGCCCATACTCCTAGCCTGCATCAGAGCCAGCCCAACAGCAACCTCCTTATTCAGCCCACTTGAGTTCATGTACAAACACCCTTTCCTCTTACAAAACAGGCCCCTTCCTCTCAGCTCTCCCACATCTGACGCCTCCTCCGTGGACACGGTGACCAAGGCCTCACGAAGGCCCAGTTAACCAGGCCCTCCTCTAGGAGAATGTTTTCCTAAAGACCTTGATCCCATAAGCCTTAACCAAAATGGGAAGGCCCCATTCAGGTTCTCCCCACAACCCCCGCTGCAGCCAAACTCTTAGAACACACTTCTTGCTACCATCTTTGCAGGTTAAAAAGGGACCCCCAGGCCCCCACTGGCCCGTCAACTCCCTCCTCGCGAACCACCCATCTATACTCAGCATCAAGCTGGGCCAACCCAACCCCACCTCACACCAATTCCAGAGCAACCCCACCAGATAAGCAAAACTACCCTCTCTTTGTTCCTGCTTCAGAGACCCGGCAAACAACTGTTGGCTGTGCCTCCCCGTCTCGGACACTGACTACATTGCCAACCCGGTCCCCACCCAAGATTGGCTACACACCAAAGTAACCTATCACCCCCAGTTTCAACTAGGCGGACCCTTCCAATGTGATTTACAACTAATAGGCTTTCTGAATCCTTTCTGGAGCATATCAAACCCCTAACCTTCACCAGACAGGCAGCTCTCTTTCTCCCCACATTAAGCACACCCAGCCCCTAATCTCCATTACCACACAGACAGCCCTGCTCCCTCAGATCCCACTGTGCGTCCAACGCCACTTCCCGGCCAGCCATTACTTAGGCCACCTGCTCCCACAGCAGTGACTTCACCCCACAACTCCAATCCTCCACAAACACATAAACCAAAACATAATCAACGCTGCGCTCTGCTTCTCAAGCCCTTCCAAACTCAGCACTAACCTACTCCTTCATAAGAAGTCAGGTTTCTGTAACGGTAGACACACTCCCTGCTTAAACCTGCACCCCTGGCTAGCCTGTGATGCCAAGCCACCCGAGACCCAAGACTGCCTCCTCCCCAATCCTTCACCAATAACTCCTCTCACTGGCTCCTAGTAGATACAAAATGCCTCCTCCTCCACTGGGTGGATAAAAAAACCACAGACTATCCAACCCACCCCCCATGCACCTCTTCAACCACTCACCGCAGCTGCCCTAGCAGGGACAAAAAAATCTACATACCGTGTTAACATGCACAGTCAGATCTGCCTGCCAAGCCAAGGCGTCTTCTTCCCACGCGGTGCCTGCCTTCATATCTGCCTTCTCGCCAACTGGACTGGCGCCCGCACCTTAGCCTTCCCTCCCTAAAATCAGTATCACCCCAGGAAACCAATCCTTGCCTATCCCAGTTGACACCCTCACCCAACACCATAGAGCAATACAGTTTATACCCTTGCTTCTAGAAATAGGAATAGAACAGCCAGACTATCCCCACCTCCCTTTCATACTATCGCTCTTTCCAAAACCTCACAGACAGTATAGAAGACACAGCCAAATCCATTTCAACACTCCAAACACAAACACATTCACTAGTGGCAGGTATGCTGCAAAATCACAGAGGCCTCGATCTCCTTAACCAAAAAAGGAGGCCTCTGCTTGTATTTTTTTTGTAGAGACCAGAGTTTCGCCATGTTGCTCAGGATGGTCTTGATCTCCTGACCTCATGATTTGCCTCCCAAAGTGCTGGGATTACAGGTGTGAACCACTGCACCCGGCCAGCCTCTGCATTATTTTCTTAGACGAACAATGCTGTTTTTATCTCAACCAATCTGGAATAGTACAAAATGTAGTCAAAAGACTCAAAGGCTGAGCCCAAAAACTAAAAGAAAACAATTCTTCTGCCTGGCCCAGCTGGTCTCCCAGCTCTGGGGCTGCTATAACTCTCCTCCTCCTCTTGGTCTTTGTCACATTCGTATTATGCCTTTTCACCCAGTTTCTGCA